TAGGGAAGAGTGGCATTGGATACATTGTTGATGGTGGCGAGACATGGGTCTGACATTGACAATCGAGTTCATTGCTTTGCTCTTCATTTGGCGTGCACCTGTCTCTTATACACATCTAGATGTGTATAAGAGACAGGAGAGAGAGAGAGTGTTGTGCGGTCCAAGGAAGAAGGTGGCGGAATAGGGAAGAAGACGAGTGTGATTGCATTGGGGAAAAAGAAGAAAACAGAAACGAAAAGAAAAGAAGGAAAGAAGAAGACAAAACAGGCAAGCACATCGCATGGACAACTGCAAATCACGGGGCAAATCTTTAGATCAAACGTTCCACAACGAAAAAAGCCACATCACACGCCTACCAAACCACATTCACATCGCACGCTCCAAAATCGCCCAACCTAGAACTTGCTAACGTGGCAGACTCTCAGCCCACGAGAACAACGACGAGGCCCAATGCTGGCCTTGCGATGTAAATAGAGTTTTACATTGCACGGCCAAAGATGCCAGTTGATCAAAAGGAAAGAGCCCGCGGCTGGTAAACCTTAGAACATTGTAGGATTGCAGAGATTTGACGAAGCCCTACTTGATTCACTAATAAACAATCACTCAATCACTCAATCAATCATTCAACAATGAGTCGATCAAGCAAGCTGGCTCCTTGATTGGGCGGATCCTCTGATTAAGAAGTCCGCTCCGCTACCAAACTGTTGCATACCGTAACGGTGCAGACCTGAACAAGAACTGACCTCTCTCACATAGTACAGGATAGCGCAGCAGAAGGCTAAAATACCAATGATCAGACCAATCAATGTTGCAATTGAGACCAATCATACATCATCATCATCCCGAGGTGTGAAGGGCCTGGCGCTACACACAGGAAGAATGCACCAGGTCCAGACCATGCACCGACGAAGAGGAGGGGATCAGACGAAGGACGGAGAAGATGAGAATGTCGTCAACACCAAAGTCACAACTGTCCCAAGGTTGAGTCTGTATCCAAATGTCGTCAACATCCCAAAGTCACAA